CTCATGGGCAACCGACAAATGGGGCTAACAACCCCCGTCTTCTTACCAGTGGTGGTGAAGATTAACCCTAAAGGTCTTAGAGCAGGGCATTGCACAGAGTGAGCAATCAAATGTTGCTTTTATAACTGACAGGAAACACAATAAAAAAAAAAAAACCCAACCACCTGGTTTTCCAATTCTCAAACTACCGCTTTTTTTTTTTTTTTAAAGATTTTATTTATTTATTTGACAGAGAGACACAGAGAGAGAGGGAACACAAGCAGGGGAAGTGGGAGAAGGAGAAGCAGGCTTCCCACTGAGCAGGGAACCCGATGCAGGGCTCGATTCCAGGACTCTGGAGTCATGACCTGAGACGAAGGCAGACCCTTAACTGACTGAGCCACCCAGGTGGACCCCCAAACTACCACCTTATTGGCAACCAAATACAGACAGTAGGCAGCTGAAATCAAGAGAAGGAGCACTGGAGTCCAGGAGCTGGAGTGTCAACCCCGGCTCTCCTTCCAGAATTTCCATGCTCAGGGGTTAACAATACTTGCCCTCCCAGGGCTATAAGGAGGAGTGAATGAGATCAGGCATGTAAAAAAAGGTTTAAAAGTTGAGTCAGGCTATGCCAACATAAAAGAAGAGTTTTATGATTACTGCCGTTATAAATAACCCAGATTCCCCCCCTCCACTGGCAGAAACCCGCCTGTTAAACCTAGGAGGAACCAGCAGCAGCGTTCAGGCTGCCGGAAGCTGGCTGTTCGGCACGGAGCAGCTGGACTGCTGCAAGGGAGCAGACGCCTGACCTCCTCTCGGGGCAGCAATCCCCTTCTTCCTCATCTCCGACCAAAATCCAGGCTGGCTCACAAAGGGTAATGGATCCTCCCCACCAGCCCGCAGGAACACGTCGTCTCTCCATGGTCCTGCTGTCGAGACCTGAACTCAAGTCATCCGCAGCAGGAACCCAGTGCGCAATGAAGGGCTGGGAGGGCTGCCCCTAGCTCCTAGCTCTCCTCTCCTAGCTTCCCTGTGGCTTGAGCAAGCATGACCACAACTCATCCGTGGGTTTCTGAGTGGGGCGGCAGTTTCCAAGAACACCAAGCTTTCGTCTCTGCCATTCTCCAGGTGGGCCCCCGGGAACCCCACTCTTGCCTTGGTTGAGGGTGGGTACCTTCTGAGGGAACAAATGTCCTTTACGGAGGAAAAAGACCTCGGGGGAAATTTTGTGCGAAGGGCTATCAGGGGGCCACCTGCTGGCTCCTAGCATCTCCGGGTCAAAGATGTCCCACAGCAAGGGAAGAGGGAAGGAGATGGACGGCCACCCACAGGCCCCTGGGAAAAGAGCAGCTGTTGAAATGGGAGACATAACTGGCTAAATTTTCCTCTCCTAGCCTATGTGAGGCTGGGTTCCCAACTTCCAGAGGGAATGAACACTGAGGGCAGATTTAAATATATATACATAATTGTTGGCAAGACACTGAGAGGATCACGCCAACGAATCTATTCACAGATCAGGGAGTCTGCCCAGAAAGGCACCGGGAGGAAGAGGCCCAGAAGGGAAGGTAACACTTTGTCAGATGATTTCTGGGGCCCAATGGTCTACCAGCTACCCCTGCTCAGCCCACCCCTACAACAGCCTTCCTCAAAGCAGGTGAGCTGCTGAAATCATCGAAAAATCATCACAGGACACATGAAAGCTTACTCAGACGTCCACCGCCACTGGTGACTTCTTGTGCCTTTGAACATATTTAGTCTTTTTCTCATTGTGTTCCCTTTGACTGTGCACCCACACAGAGAGATGGTGCCTGGTTCTCTACACTCGTATGTGCAGAACAAGGCACAGATGAACCTCGACATCTTGCTGGTGCGGCAGTGCTCCGACGCAGCTAAGGAACAGAGCCTCGGTGGGACCAGGCTCAGTGCACCGGCGTTGTGGGCTGAATTACGTCGCCCCCAAATCCGTCTGTTGAAGTCCGATTCCCAGTATCTCGGAATGTGACTGGATGAATGGGCAGATAAGGCCTTCACAGAGGTGATTAAGCTAAAAATGAGGCCAGTGGGGGTGGGCTCTATTCCAGGAGGTTTGGAGCCCTTTGATACAAGAGGGACAACCTGATGAGGAGACAGCAAGAAGACAGCCATCCGCAAGCCAAGGAGGGAGGCCTCCGGAGAAACAGAGCCTGCCAGCACCTTCATCTTGGGACTTCCAGCCTCCACAACTGTGAAAAAATAAAATTCTGTGGTTTAAGCCACCCGGTCTGTGGTACGTTGTTATGACAGTCCTAGCAAATTCATGCAACTGATATACCTAAAAACCCTCGCTGTTCGCCCGATTGGAGACAAAGAGAAGAGGACAGAGGATAGAGTCCTAAGCTCGGACATGCTGTGGAGCAAACGGAGCTTCTTCTTAGTCTGAGACGTGCCACTTTGATGGCAAATTGTAGCAAGGTCAAAGTGGGGACAGTCCACTGGTCACCGAGGACTGCCAAATCCTGCCTTCCCCGGCGGCCCGAGGCTGAGGTAGCCCAGAGGGTCACAGGCGTCTGGGATGAAAAAAGGTGACTAAGCCACCGCCGAGGAGTAACCAACTCTGCCTCATCTATGTGTCACTGCTGTTGTTCCAGAAAAGGAGAAGACCTTGGGGATGAGTGGGCCAGCAAGTGAGGTGGCCACCTGCAAACTCTCATAGGTTTGACAAACCAACTCAAATCTGGCCCAACTTTTGCCTTTGGCATTGGGAACCGGCAATCTCCCAGTCTGCCTGGATGCCTTGGCCCTCCCGCAGCCTCCAGGACCCTGCCAGACCCTGGGCTTCCCACTGAGTGTGGGGCCCAGCCGAACCACTCCCTGGGGGCCAGGAGTGGACCCCCAGAGGGACCCACAAATGCTTGCCGCTGCTAAGGGGCCCAGACACACCCAGCAATTATCCATCCAACCACAGCTCTCTCCAGGCTGGCGGCAAGGATCAAAGCAAAGAAGGAGGGTATTTGAAAGGTATTGGCGGGCGGATGTCTGGAGGGCCTGGGAGGGGCGGCGTGCTCTGAGAGGTGGACAAAGGGCTGTGCCTTCACTCTCTCAAGGATGCCAGGGTGGGCGGGACTGGCTAATTCAAATGCAAAAGCCTCAGGGCAGGAAGACTGGGAAACCTTTCCATTCTCCAGCTCCATCCGAAAGGCCTACAGGTTCCCTCCAGGTCCCTTCATTCACTCTGGCTGTGAGGTTGTTTACCCGGAGGAGTGGGAGCCCCCATAATCACCACTATCTGAGAGCACACAAACCAACACACACTTTGGGCCCCTTCAAAAGGCGAGCCTCAAGTCCTCCCGCAACCCCACAACCTCAGTACAAGAGGAAGAAGAGGGAAGTGTCGTAGGGACTGCATCCTTGGGGGTGGATTAGAATCACGCAGGAACAAAGGGGCTCCTCACTTCTGCAGTGTGGTTCCTGGGGTTGGATGGGCAACGGGGAGGGGAAGGTCCGACAAGGGGCAAGCCTGGCCCCTCCTTCAGCCTCTTTTGCTGGGACCCAAGGGCTTCTCTTGTCCTTCACCAGCTTGACGGGGCTACTGTGAGGAAGCAGAGGGCACGCTCTCAATTAAGAGAGCGGAAGCCGGACAGCCTCATCATCGTTGTCTGCAAGGTGAGAGGAGGACAGACAAACAAACCAAACCACCACCAAGAAAACTGCACTCTGCTACAGATTAGAGAAACGTGGAGGAGAACAAGAAATCGGCTCCTGGCCTTGCTCAGCAGTTACAATGACGCCGCGTTTACTACCTTGGAAATTTCCGCCTCAACCATCCATTCTCATTTGCGTGTGCGAGTCGCTGATGGTAGGTGTGGGCCTGTCTGTGAGGGACCCACAGACCTGCAGCAGGGCCGACTTCCCACTCCGAAGGCCTTTCGCACGGCCCACACGATGTTTACTGTTTCCTCCCTCCCTCCCGATTTGTTCATTTAAAAATATTTAGCCCGAGGCACAATGAACTGTCTCCTTTACAAGCGTTCCCCTGGACCATTAGACTGGGACTCCGCACTCATTACGCTGGAGAAGGTGCTACTCCCCATGCAAATTCCTGGAGCCTCCGACCCAGAGATGGGAGGTGCTCAAGGTACGCTATCAAGGGTTGATTTAATTACACAGTCATTCAGTGGGCAAAGCAGAGCGATTTCCAGCCAACTGTGCTAGTAAATATTATGGAAGCCCTTTCAGAGAGTTCATTCCGGCTTAGTGATCTCAAGCGTGACCAGATTTCCTCCTCATTCCTGCACATACCCCCCCCCCACAAAGGTGCCACCGGTGGGTGCTACCCACCCTCTGCCGGGGCCAGAAGAGCCAATGGATAATGCATTAGCTGGGATGCCACCTCGCCGTCGATTATGACTCTTTTTTTTACGTCACGAACACCCGAGGATCACGGACGCGCAGAGGAGGACAAACTTTGCTAGCCATGAACTTTCCAGCGGCCGGCCCTTCCTCTGCCCTACACCGCCCCCGACCCCCGCCTGGGTCCCCGCTCTGGGTGGGTCCCGCCGGGTGGCTTCTGGGCGGGCTGCGGTAGCCAGCGGACCCGGCTCCCGTGGGTGGGACAGCACAGCCACCACAAACCCACTCGGCCCGTGTGAAACAACACCCAATCACTGCATCCACCCTCCCAGAGCGCCCAGGAGGAAATGGCATCATGACTTTCATTTTGCTCCGTTTCCGACCGACCCAAGGAAAACAACTTGTCCTAAGACAATCCTCGGGGTATCCGATGTCAGGGGCTGGGCGGGATGCTCCGGAATGTTAACAAGTGACCTCGAGGAGAAATTAATTTTCAGGAGCTAAAATAACCGCCTGCTGCCCAGGCACGGCCAGTTTCCCTCCCTGCAGACGCGGATTTTCACTTTCCCCAGCCAGAAAAGAACACACTCCTGCATCCCCGTTTCTTCAGAAAAGTCTATAAATAACCGAGGATCAGCAAAATTATGCAAAACACCCTGCTAGGAGAAGAAATGTAAACTAAAACCACTTACAGAGAGACTCGGGCTGCCAACTTAATCTGATTCTACGACGACTGTAAACATGTTGTACTTTTGGAACCTGAAGAGATCCACATTAGCACGGATGCCATCGCAAAAAGAAAAAAGGAAAAAAAAAAACAAACAACAACAGCTAAACAACAAAAACCCACCCCTGAAACCGAGCAGCACGGTCCGGCGCCCTGCACCGTCCGGACCCGCGGTGATCAGCTGCGGCAGCAGCAGCGAGCCCGGCTTGCACACGCCAACTGTTTTGACTACGGGCACTTGTTAAACACAGAGTTTCAGGTCCTACCAGTTGGACACCAGAAGTTCATAGAACTGACCCAGTGCCAAGAACAACAAGCACAGAAAGCGAAACGGCTGTCTCGTGTGCCGTGTTTTTGTTAACTGTTTATGCAAGCCCCAAAGCGATTGGGGAACAATTACGAATAAAGCAGAACTTAAAGAACAAAAGCAAAAGATTACCACCTTGAAGGAAATGGAGATGTTGGCAGATAAAGGACAGACGTCAACCTAGTTTATCGGTGGGGTGGGTGGGTGGTTTTCGGAGAGAAGGGGGGGGGGGGGGCAGGTGTCACATGACGAACTGCCGTTATTAGGAGGAACCGGGTGCTTCCTCGAAGCATCTTTTACTTTGAGATCTACTTAAGAGATCTCGCAAATGCTGAGGCCTCAGTGCACATCTGGGGGTGACTGCAGAGGCCCTGGAATTTGGAAGTTGGCAAATCCCACAGGAGGAGAAAGGGGCGTGCTGAACAGAGATTTCAAGACACAGGAAAGGGACTTCCAAGCGTGCTGCTCCGTGATGTGAGATCACTGAGCCACTCAGGAAGCAGACGCAAGGGCCCGCGTCCCTGGGTTGTTTCTGTCTTGGTCCTGAGAAAGGTTTCCCTGCCCTCTTTGGGTTTAGGGTTGCTGGGGTCAAGCTTTCGCCTTCATCCGGGACCACACTCTGTGTTCTTTAGGTGACAGTGAATAAAGTATTTTCATCTGGCAAAATAAAATAAAAAGGAATGTTTACATCGCCTGTTTAACCAGGATTTCCATTTCTTCTCCAGAATGCATTCAGCACCATCTCAGGTGAGGAACAAGACAAGAGAATTAACCAGATTGTCTGAGGATTTGAAAAAGTGAATTCCAAGAGAACTGGGGTATAGATGTAAGAGTGAGGAATTTTAAATTGCTGAGTGGACTCAAGCCCTCCTCCCATTATCTAGCTATCTACCTATCATCTACCATCTATCTATCTCTTTATCTAAGGAGATTTCAAAATGTAGCAAGCAAGCCTAGCTAAAACAATCTCTTTTTAAAATGGGGTTGGGAGGCCATAAGGGAAGGGGAATATTTGCACGTCCTTATTGTAGGAGCCAAGAACTTTTAAAAAAGGCTTTTAGCCAGCTGCAAGCCCTCAGCCGGGACCTAACTTCCTCCTCAAGACACCTGAATCATCCTCACTCTTCATCTCAGAAAGAGCCCATGCAATTAACATGGTTCAGTCCCTTATTTGTATATTAACCTGACCAATGCCAGCTAGTCTAGTTTCAATGCCTCCTTTGCACAGAGGACCTGAATGAGGACTGCACACCTAGCCCTGCCCCTTCTTTGTCTTCCTTAGGACCCAGTCGCGGTTTCTACCTGAATCTGTGTCTCCTCAATTCCAACTCTAGCAGCACAAGTGAATACCCGTTGGCTTACATTTTCATGACTTCTTTCTTGGTCCACACTATTTATCTATCATCCATCATCTACCTTCGATCCGAAGAATCCAGTGTTGCCACTTTCCCACTCCAGAGGGTTAGGAAAAAGCAATGAGTAAGTAGTAACAGGTTGTTGGGATAACCACTGTGACTTAGGCCAGATTTGTGTTTATTCTGGAGAGTAAATGTTGTTCCTCTGGTTCCGGGGGTCAGCAGTGTGATGGTGGACACGAGCCCACTTGGTGGCTACGAGCCCACATTTTATTACAAACTAGATATAGAAATAGTTTCGCTGTGATCTGAAATGGAGCCCTCCCCCACCACCCCCTGGAGTGAAACAAAGCAGCTGCCCAACAGATCAAGAGAGAAGAGCAAAGGCGTCCAAGACAAAGGAAGGAGCTGAGGAGGAAGATGGCTGAGGGTGGGGGAGGGGAGAATGGGGGAAGGGCTTTTGTGGGAGAGAAGGATCTAGTCGGGCCCAGGGGGTTTCCAACCACCTCTGGGCTCTGGGTTGGCAACTGACTCTAGAGAGTGACCCCAGAACTTTTGCGAGGCGTGCCCTCCACGTAGAGCACCATGGTTTACGGGTCCCCTTCAAGCTCATTATGTTATTTGCCCCTCAGAGACATCCTGAATGGGCAGGTCCCGAGCAACGAAGGAAGCAAGCTGAGGCCCAGCGAGGCCTCTGTCTCAGCCCCACCAGCGAGAAGACTCACGTGCCGCGCTGGCCTGGTGCTTTCTATTCGCAGAGCACTTTAAAAGGGGCAGGGTTTATCCTTCCCATGTCCAGACAAGTACACCGAGATTCTGGGGAGGCCACAGGTCATGTCCAAGGCCACATTGCAAATAATATGCTGCACTGGGTCTCCTAATTGCTCATCCAACCTTTCTTGCTTACCTTTACCATGTTCCAAGAACACTCAATGATTGACCCAAAAAGGCCACCAACGTGGCTGTATTTTAAGAGCACATCATCTCTAGGTTCTTAGAACTGTGTGCACAGCTCTTTGGCAGCCGATCACAGTGCCGCTCCCAAGTGCAAGGGGTGCCTCTCCACGCCTGTGAGCTTCAAACATCTGGACAGCAGAACTTGTAAGTCAATGGGAAGCCACCATCTCCACCCCGTGAGAACCCTGTCCTTCTTCGTCCGCTTACTTCACCCACGTGCTAACCCCTGGCTCTTCCCCTAATCCTCATCTAAGGAGAAGCCCCAGCAGAACGTCCCAGCAGGCCTGCCAAGCTGAACATTAGGGAGTCTGCATTTCCAAGGTGTGCTGTCTCCAATGTAGGAGGGATTGGGCTCAGCCTACAGTTTGGTGGATGTCTTCTTCACGGGTGTGTTTCTGGGCTATGCTTCTGCTGAGTTCTGTAGCAGCAGAGGCCACTGAAAATATTGGATCAAATGGAGGGTCCCACTATCGTGTTCCTGGTCTGTGCTGAGTGGACACGCTCACAGTCTGATAGAAAATGGTATCGCTGTTGTGTGATACACCGTGAGCGAGTTTATTGCAGATTTGGGGCACTTCCTCTGAGGGAACATGGTAGTGAGTTCCTGCAAATGGCCACAGGGTTTGTGGGGGAGAACGGAGATATGTGTCAGGAATCCAAGAGCTCAGGGCCATGATCAGTGATGCCAAACGTGGAGGGCAGAGGGAAGACAGTCCGGAGGCAAAGATTGCAGAGTTCTAGAGTGTTTGGCCACTGCCTTATGAATCCACCTCTCCCCCTCTTTTCTCCCCCAAAACCCAACAAGAAAACATAGAAGCAAAAGCCAGAGGAGCTGGGGGTCAAGGCAGACTTTATGTTCAAAGTGCCTACACAGCCTAGCTGGTGAGGACTGATCAAACGCAGAAGGTTTTGTTGGCCGCAGAGGCTCTGTGGTCAGAGGAATGCACAGGTGGCACCTCTCACTGGTTTATTTGAGGTTGTTTTGGTTTGGTGACCACAGGACATTTGCATCCATGCTCCCTGAAAAGAATATAGGGCCTGGGTAAACGAGAACAGTCTCGGTAGGAAAACTCATTTGCTTATAAGATAAAAAGCAAGTAGAGTACTTCCACATAACTTGTGGCTCTTGTGAGCAGAGAGACCACTTTTTTTAAATCCCAAAATGGAACACATGGTTCAGCAGGCACTGGTATATTTAGGGAAGACAGGGTAGGCTATTTAAAATCAGCAACTTCTGAAAATCCTTGAGGCATGACCACCCGATCTGTACGATCACATTAGTAAAAGTGGGCTAGGAGCAGACTGTGGAATATTAGCAGAAACTTGTAGTTAGTATCCGTGTGCTCCACAAAGCGAGTTCTACCACAGAACAGACAAACAGTACTCTGTCGGTGGATTCGGTGGTTTGGGGAAGGCAGGTGAGGACAATACATCTAGGCCCCTGAGGACGATGGCAGAGGGTGAGACAGAGCTGAGGCCCTGGACCCACTCTCTGGGTGTCGAGACTCCCCCTAGTGAAGGCAGCTGCCTCAGAGTTCATCCACACAGGAGGAAGCTGGTCAGGGACCAGCAAGGTCTTCAAAACATAGCCCGGACGTGTGGAAAGCTGACCAGGAAAAGAACGGAGCCAAAAAAAAGGACAGAGGCCTGAGGTGTCAGGGGACAGAAAGCCAAGGTAAGCGCATCAGCAGCTGTAGCCATGGATTTGGCTTCTCGTCCCTTGGGTTCTTGTCCCTGATGCTCCCTGCACACTTTCAGGTCAGGACCTGTGGCCCAGCTCCATGCTCTTCCCTTCTGCCTGGATTCACAGGGGCTGAGCCAGCCTTCCAGATCTTACTTGGAACTGGCTTTTGGCTTAATCCTTGGTGATGTGGATTCATGATCAAAGCCACGAGGCCAGTGGTATCCACACGGAGGCTACATACCCTGGGCTTTTGGGAGAGTATCAGTTTCTGCCAGCCTGAGTGCTATGGCACCACAATTTGAAAAGTGGCTTTAAATGTGGGTTGACTGGGCTCGGACCACCGGGCTGTAAGTTCCTTGAAGGCTCCAATTCCGAGCCTCGTTTATTTTGAAGGCTGACACCTCGCCAAGCACAGAAGCCTTGCTGTGAGTTTTTAATACGTGTTTTGAATGAATGATTGAAATTCCTCGTAACGTACACCACAAAGATACATGGATACCTCACTGGGCAGCAGCAGGGCTGCGTTGTGAATGACGAGACCTGGGCTCCCGTGTACGAGGTTACTTGGCAAGCCGCTGAACCTACTCTAGGCAGTTTGCAATGCTGTAGCCTGGCTTTCAGCTCCCGGCTGAGCTGCCCTTTGCCCTGTTGTCGACTAGCTCTTCCTGGTCAATACGTCAAATGTCGGTGCACTTTCCATCCAAATGCAAAGAAGACAAACTAATCAATACATGAACCTCCCCCTGTAGGGGTTTTGAAAAGTGTGCGTGCAAGTGTGTGTGCATGGCTACATTAAGAGTAGAGAGCTTGGGGCGCTTGCGTGGCTCAGTGGGTTCAAGCCTCTGCCTTCAGCTCAGGTCATGATCCCAGGGTCCTTGGATCGAGCCCCGAGTCGGGCTCTCTGCTCAGCAGGAAGCCTGCTTGCCTATCTCTCTGTCTCTGCCTGCCTCTCTGCCTACTTGTGGCCTCTGTCTGTCAAATAAAAAAATAATCTTAAAAAAAATTAAAAATAAAAAAGAGTAGAGAGCTTTTTTTTTTTTCCCCTTTGAGAATGGGTATCTTACATTGATTTTTAAAAATTACAGCAAAAGGGGTAGATACTGTGTGCCCAACCAAACCTAAATAACAAGCAATCGGGCCCTGGGTAGGTAAATTACTG